AGGGGTGCACGGCCGTCCCCAGGTGTCTCAGGTGGGACCTTCCTGGGCCCGAGAGCTCGGGGTCCATCTGTGCAGCTCTGGGACTGGAGTCAGAGTTCACGGGGGGCCCAGCTGGGCCCGTCATGTGCTCCCTGCTCTTCCTCAGTCCCACAGGCTCCTCCGATTTCCATCTTCCTCAGATACCCCAGGGATCAGGTGATGGCAGCGGCCAGGCTCCTGCCGCCACCGGCGGTGCCCCAGGTGAGTTACCCCGAGGCCCGCGCAGCGCCACGCCGGGGGCTCCTGGTGGCAGCCTAAGCATCACTGCATCCTGGATGCTGCGGCCCCTCCCTGTCACTGCCCCGCATCCCTGAGCCTATCCCCACACCCCCATGCTGCTTGCACCCACCTCATCTCGGATGGAGACACTCAGTCGACCTGCAGCAGCCCCTGTCATTCCAGGCCAAGGTGACCTTCGAGGACGTGGCCGTGCTCCTCTCCCAGGAGGAGTGGGACCGCCTGGGCCCTGCTCAGCGGGGCCTCTACCGACATGTGATGATGGAAACCTACGGGAACGTGGTCTCCGTGGGTAAGGCCCCTCTGCAGACCTCGTCTGTCTGTGTGCTCTGCCCAGGGCGGGGTTAGGGTGCTCACAGATGCTGTGTAGACAAAAGGCCTTCCCTCCCCATGAGCAGGAATTCCAGGATCCAAGCCCGAGGTGATCTCGCAGCTGGAGCGAGGAGAGGAGCCGTGGGTCCTGGACAAACAGGGAAATGAGGGGCGCCGGGGCCTGGGCACTGGCCGCTCAGGTGAGTGGGGAGCCGCCTTCCTGCACCAAGGGCTGAGCACCTGCGAGTGCTGATGGGAGGTGGCCGGAGTGGCTTCCTCCTGGGGTCTGATTTGGCAGAGGGACCCTGCGGGCAGGTGGGGCCAGGCAGGGAGTGAGCACAGAGGCGAGTGCAGCCTGGTGGTGGGTTGGGCCCAGGCAGAGCAGGGAGAGCACCCATGGTGACCGGGCGCCTGCCGGTCCCCGTTCTGATGGGACATCCAGAGTTTGAGGGATACCTGGTTGGTTGAGGGAAGAAGGAAGCACCCTCAGTGTAGAAGGGAAGTTTCTTAACCTGGTAGGTAGTGGGGCCGGGGCTATTTGAGATGGGGAGCCTACCATCCACGGCCACGTGGCGCCGTCCGGCCGTCCCACCCAGAATAAGGCAGGACAGACGGAACACAGCAACAAGGTTGAAGCTACAGAACTGGAAAGAAGTCGTTGAAAATCATATGATTTTCTCTTGTAAGATTGACTAGAATTCACAAGAGAGTTTGCTAGGTACAGAATCAGTTTATTTCTATTTATCAACACCAAAGGTATGATTTTTTTTTCTAGTTTTATTGAGATATAATTGACATGACATTACAAGTTTAAGGTGTAGAGCATAATGATTTGACTTAAATATATTGTGAAATAATAACCACCATGAGTTTAGGTAACATCCACCATCTCATATAGGTACAACAGCAAAAGAGAAAAAAACTTTTTTAAAAATGTGATTTTCTTAAAGATAACATTTACAGCAGCATCAGAGAGGTGATGTGTCCAGTAGTTAATCTAACAGACGAAGTACCAGACTTTATGGAGGAAAGTGTAGAAGGGAGGGTGCTGGCAGATACGTCCAGTCCTGAGGGCAGTGGCCAGCAGTTGCTTTAGGGCGGGGTGGGGGTGGGCGACATCCAGTGAAGGACAAGGATAGGAGTCTCAGGGAACCTCAGCCAGCCTGCCCTGCAGGACGTGGCCCCTCTGGCTGTGAGGACAGCACGGCACCAATCCCATGGCTGCTCCACTCCAGGTCTCTAGGTACTGTGTGGAGGGACACCAGGTGTTACAGACAGCCCGCCTCTTACTGACCCGCAGAATCAGGTATCCTCAGAGGAGCAGTGACTTCACTGGACCCGGAGGAATGCGATTTTCCAGGGAATGTAGAAAAGGCACAGCATCATGTTGAGCAAATCTTTGACTGCAGCTGCAGGGGGCAAGAAAACAGCTGCCCCCAACCAGACCTGGGTCCCTGGTGGACCAGCTGTGCTTTCACCTGATGGAGGTCTTAAGACGAGTGCCCTTCAGATCTGATGCCAAAGAGACCGCCGTTCTCCAAGAGCATGGTGGGTTGGAGAGAGAAGCTTTCGCACAGAAGCACCTGCTCACTCTGCCCCCCACCCGCAGGCCCCAGAGGACGGGGTCTGAGAGATGAGGGGTGTGCACAGAGCAGGAGCTGCCTGCTGCAGCCCGGGCCGCCACCATGTGCCTCAGCCTCGCCCGGCGGCTCCTCAAAGGGAGAAGCGTGTGCGCCTGCCTGGCCCTGCTGTCTTAACCCAATGAATTGCACTTTCGTCTTGTAACAGCAAATGAGAGGATTTTCCACTCTTGGGAGAGGCATTGGTTTTGTTGTCCCTTCAACTCTCTGTTCCTTTTGCAGACAACTTCACGTATGACCACATGACAGCTTGTGTGCAACAAGACAGCACGTCCTGTCCCTGGGGTGAGTGTGTGTCTCATCTTCTTTTCGATCCAGTACAAAATCCCTGACGTGTCTGGCTCGTGGTTCACAAGAACACGAGGAGGTTCCCAGGCTGCTGTGATGCAGCGTGTGTGTTCTCATTACACAGCACACACAGTCTCTACAGAATGCCGGTGGGGGGGTTAAATTAAAAAATTGGTTTCGGTGGACTTGCTTTTTCCCCCTAATTTGTCTTGTTGTTGCTGTACACTTGAAACAACGATGAAGCTGCCATCCTGAGAGTGTGGGGCAAGAGGCAGCCCATCCCCGCATTCACGGCAGCCTGGGTCTGTTGTGCACTGTGTTTGTGCCATGGATGATGGAGGGAGTTACCTCCTGAAATGTTCAATTATTCTTCACCATTAAAGTCGTCTTTCTTGTCTTGTTACTCTGGCATCAGGCCAGAAGCCACCCATTCAGGAAGCTTCAAACATTAGAAATGATACTTTTCCATGCAAATGAGTAATTATTTCTTTGACCTACCAGCTTTACTCTGTGATGATGAGGCTCATAAGTGAAAAAAAAAGAACTAAAACTTGTTTTCCGCTTAAAAAAAAACATAGTATAAGTTTTTAAGAACATGTAAAAATCTTATTAAACAGATGACAGTGAATTCAGATATTTAAATGAAGAACCTATCGAATATCGTTACCATTTATGAGTACAGTGCACACTTAATAAATAAATTGCTCTGAAGAGAATAAAATATGAAGAAACACCCAATAAGAAAAATGGGCACAAAACTTGAACAGGTTCTAATAGAAGAGAACCAACGGAGAGGCCAGATGGGAGGGTGGCAGCCGCCTGCAAGCCAACAGAAGAGGCCTCAGAATGAAATCGACCTTGCTGGCACCTTGATCTTGGGCTTCCCAGCCTCCTGTTGTTTGAGCCCCCCAGTCTATGATATTTTGTGAGGACACCAAGCCAACTAAGATAGCCCCAGGATCCCTGCCCTCTGATCCCTGCTATACATGCCCTGCATAATCCGCAGGACTGTGGTTATGTGTTTTATGATTAGGTTATATGAAATGGCACTGTTGCCTTTAAGGAACAGAGAATGCTCTAAATCTGGGTCTGGAGGTCAGAGACAAGTCAAATTCAAAGCAGGAGGAGGGAATTCCCTGGCAGTCCAGTGGTTAGGACTCAGCACTTTCACTGCCTTGGCCCAGGTTCAGTCCCTGGTCAGGGAACTAAGATCCCACAAGCTGCTCTGTGTGGCCAAAAATAAATTTATTAATTAAAAAAAATTTTTTTAAAGCAGATGGATTTGATGCATCATTGCTGCCTTAAAGATGCAGGTAGGAGCAGAGAGTGACCCCCAGGCAGCATCCAGCAGGGAAATGGTCGCCTCGGCCCTGCAGCTCCAAGGAGCTAAATGCTGCCAACAATAAAAAAGAGCTGAGCCTTCACACAGGATTTCAGACTGGCTGACACTTTAGCTCAGCCTTGTGATACCCTGAGCAGAGAACCCATCCCCGCCATACAGAATCGTGGCCTACAGAACTGTAAGCTAATAAATACAGTTCCCAGTGCTCACACAAGGCTGGGAACACTGTCTCTTCCCACCAGCAAGAGTGGAAAACCTTGTAACTCACAAGGCATCATCAGGTAGAGTACTGAGTAGGGTCTTGCCTCACTAATTGGGGGGAAATAACCTTAAACACTGCCCTGGTCAGACTGAACAGAGTTGAAAGGCAAGAACCATACAGTTTCCAAGTAACTTAGCCACATATTAGAACAAAGCTCAATAATGTTTATAAAAATTCAGAAGTATCCAGCACCAAGCAAGGGGAAATCCATGATGTCCAGCATCTAACCAGAGATAACAAGAAGCAAGAAAATACAGCCATGATTAGAAGAAGAACCAGTCAAGTGAAACTGACCAGAAATGACAGGGATGATAGAATTGGGAGACAAGGATATTAAAACAGAATAAATTCCATATGTTCAGGGAGCTACAGGAAATAGTGTATTAGGTAGAGGCATGGAAGATTATTTTTTTTAAACCCAAATCTAATTTCTAAAGATGAAAACAACGATGAGATGAAAAATTCACTGAGTAAAATTAGTGGCAGATTAAACATTGCAGAAGAAAGGATTAGTGAACTTGAAAACAAAGGCATGGAAACTTTTGAAAAGGAAACAGGACAAAGGCTAAAGAAGATTGAAGAATATCGGTGAGCTGTGGGAGAACCTGAAATAGCCTGATATATATCATTGATGGGAACAAAGCAGGAAAAATATTTGAAGAAGTGACAGTTGAAGTTTTTCCAAATTTGATGAAAATTATAAACTCAGAAATCTAAGAAGCTCAAGGGACCCTATGCATAATAAACATGAATAAAATTACACTAAACCACATCATGATTAAATGTTGACAACTGGTGACAGAGAACATTTTAAAGGCAGCCAGAGAAAAAGACACATCGCATAGAGAAGCAGGGGCCAAAGGCAGACTGACTGACAGACTGTACTTCCTTCCTTCCTTCCTTCCTTCCTTCCTTCCTCCCTCCCTCCCTCCCTCCCTCCCTCCCTCCCTCCCTCCCTCCCTCCCTCCCTTCCCTCCCTTCCCTTTCTTTCAATATTTATTTATTTATTTGCACCAGGTCTTGGTTGTGGCTTGCCAGCTCCTTGGTTGCAGCTTGCCAGCTCCTTAGTTGCAGCACATGGGCTCCTTAGTTGTGGCATGCGTGTGGGATCTAGTTCCCTGATCAGGGATTGAACCCAGGCCCCCTGCATTGGGAGCGTGGAGTCTTACCAACTGTGCAGGCGGCCACTTTCTTGCTGTGTGTTCACTTGACTCTCTGTGCCTGAGGAGACATAAGGACACTGTTCTCATCACTGTGGCCTGCCCTGATGACCTCAACTAGCCCTAAGCACTTCCCAAAGGCCCCACCTCCAAATACCATCACACTGGGGGTTAGGGCTTCAGAATACGAATTTGAGAGGACACAAATTTTCAGTCCTTAACAACTTCCCTGTTCCTTCTTCCCCAATTTTATGATACTGTCCTAAGTTTTATATATGTTGTAAAACCACAATACGTAACTACTGTTTTTGCTTTAGACAGTTGCCTTTTAGAGTGACTTAGCAAACTTTTTCATAGTCTTTTATATTTACCTTCATTTTAACCATTTCCAAAAACCGTCATTTCTTTGTGCGATTCCAAGTTTCTGTCAGGTATATTTTTTCCCCATGAAGAACTTCCTTTAACATTAATGTGGATTTCATGGCTGGAAACTCTGTCCATTGGTTTCTTTCTTTTCAAAAAATTATCTTTTTTTTTTGAAAGGTATTTTTTGCTGGGCACAGAGTTGTAAATTCACAAGTGTTTTCCTCTCAGCACTCGAAGGATGTCCGTGCATTGTCTTCTGACGTGAAGGTTTCTGATGACGAGTCTGCTGTATTTCTTACTTTCGTTCCTCTGTGTTCTCTGTGGGTTTTTTCCCCTGTAGCTGCGTCTAAGATTTTTCTCCTTCTCTTTGGTTTTTAGGAGTTTGAATAGGAAACATGTTTATGTTTCTTTGATCTTGGATCTGTGTTTTGATATCATCCGTTATTGTTGGAAAAATCCCAGCCATTATCTTTTCAGATGTTTTACTTCCTTGTCCTCTGTCTTCTCCTGGGATTCTAACAACGTGCAAGTTGGGCTGTTCAGTATTGACCCACAGCTCTGTTTAGTGTTGTTTTTATTGTTTACTGTTCATTTTTCTCTTTGTGTTTCAGTTTGAATAATTTCTGTTGACCTATTTATAAGCTCCCTGGTCGTTTCCTCAGCTGAGTTGAGTCTAATGAGGAGCACGTCAAAGGCATCCTTTACCTCTGTCGCTGTGTCTTGTGTCTGATCATGCAGGTCGTTCCAACACACGGGTCACCTCTGAGCCTGGCGTATTGCCGCTTAGTGTCTTGATTGTGTGTGTGTGTGTGTGTGTGTGTGTGCACGCATGTGCGTGCACTCACACAACCTTTTCTTTTTTGGTATCTCTTACTTTTTTATTGAATGTCAGCCATCACTCATGGGACAGCGAAAGAGGCAAACTGTCTGTCTGGAAGCACAGCCTCTCCTGCTCAACTTAGTGTGAAAGGCAGAGTCAGTTCAGTCAGGAGCTGGGCTGGGTTCTTTTGTGCCCATAGTTGCCTTCAGGGCGCCACCAGATGCAGATTCCACAGGCACTTCCTCATGCAGGGCGGGGGCGCTCAGTCTCCCGTGTGTCTCTGTACCTCAGAGGCTTCCTCCACCCGCAGTAGCCTGCTGTGGCTTGTTGCTCAGCACTTGTTAGACTTGGGGAAGCAGGGATGGAGCCACCCCTGCTGTCCTGGTCGGTCCTTGGGCTCAGCCCTCCCCCAGCTGAAGGAGGTTCTAACTGTCTGGGCCCAGGGTCGTTTCCTGCCCCTTGCCCACCCCCACCCCCCAAGCACAGGGTAGTCTTCCCTTCCCCCAGCCCTGATTTTCATCTGTCCCCAGAGTGTCAAGTTTGCTTACCCTCCCCCAGTGACTCACAACTTTTGTTCTGTAGAGAAGGCTCCCCCCTCTTTCAGACCTGAACCCCCAAGGGAGGCTCCCTGTGCTACTACCCCCAGGGGCGGTCCATGGAGCTGCGCCCTCGTGTCCATGCTCCCAGGGGCTCTTTGTCAATCTGTTGAAGTTTTAGCTGGAGTCTCCGAGCCTCTTGTGTGGTGGCCCTGCCTTCCATCTTCCTCTCACCCTCCCTTCAGCCGTGGGCCACCCCACACACCTGTCTCCAAGCACCTGTCTTTCCCTAGATTTCAGCTCAGTTGGTTATTATTGTGACATTAGTTCTGTGATGGATTCAGAAAAGTTAAGATTTTGTAGATTGTCTGGATTTTTCTTGCTGTCGGGGTGGAAGAGATGCTCTTTCCAGGTTTCTAGCCCCTGGGGGAAAGCCGTTAACAAAATGATATAATAATACGTGTTGTCTTAAATAATATAATAATGACATTAATGGTAGAAGAACATGGGAATCACAGCTGGATTGGTCAGTGCAGTCACGAGACTTTGCCAGATTGAGGTTGTGTTCTTCTGAGGGTCCCGGGGAGGGGCCCCCACTGCCTCTGATGAAGAGGCAGCGCTTGGAAGCAGAGGGCGGTGACTGTTTGGCAACAGGAACAAGGGCTTGGACACTGGGGTTGGAAGAGGAGGAGAAGAACAGAAGAGGGGCTTCCCTGGCGGTCCAGTGGTTAAGACTCCGCGCTTCCAATGCGGGGGGTGCAGGTTTGATCCCTGGCCAGGGAACTAAGATCCCACGTGGCACATGGTGCGGCCAGAAAACAAGGGAATCAGAAGAGAGGCGTGGGTCCTGAAGGCCCCCGGCTGCAGGGGGAGGAGCCAGGCTCCGTTCTGGACTTTGGATGTGGATGTGCTGGTGGCCCCTCCAGATGAAGCGGCCTGGCTGCAGGCAGACACCCCCCTGAGCCCTGGAGAGCAGTGCGGGTGGGGAAGCCAGGATGTCCCCGTGTCGGGGGCAGCTGAAGCTCGGGGTGGGGCCCCAGCCTCTACACCACTGTGGGGGCCCCTCGCCCTCAGTGTGACTTCTTTAAGGAGCTTTGGGTAAGTCTCCCCAGCCCTGGTCCTGCCTCTTCCGAGATGACCCTCTGCTGAGGGTTTGCTGCAGTCGGGCTGCCACCATCCTTTTTTTTTTTTTTTTTAATGTTTTTTGGGGTTTTTTAAAATAAATTTATTTTATTATCTTTTGTGTGTGTGTGTGGTATGCGGGCCTCTCACTGTTGTGGCCTCTCCCGTTGCAGAGCACAGGCTCCAGATGCACAGGCTCAGCGGCCATGGCTCACGGGCCCAGCCGCTCCGCAGCATGTGGGATCTTCCCGGACCGGGGCACGAACCCGTGTCCCCTGCATCGGCAGGCGGACTCCCAACCACTGCGCCACCAGGGAAGCCCACTGGCCACTGGGAGTGTTTACTTTTGACTGCGTTGGGTCTTCGTTGCTGCCCACGGGCTTTCTCTAGTTGTGGCAAGCCGGGGCTACTCTCCACTGCGGTGTGCAGGCTTCTCGTTGCAGTGGCTTCTCTTGTTGTGGAGCACAGGCTCTAGGCACGCAGGCTTCAGTAGTTGTGGCGCACGGGCTTAGTTGCTCCGCGGCATGTGGGATCTTCCCGGACCAGGGCTGGAACCCGTGTCGCCGGCATTGGCAGGCGGATTCTCAACCACTGTGCCACCAGGGAAGCCCCTGCCTCCATCCTTTTGCAAGAAGTATTAGCGTTTGGTATGTCTAAGTCCCTCCAAGGTAACCATTTCCTGGATGTCACAAGACATCACAGGTCAAATCAAGCACATGTTGACCCCGTTGGCACAAATCTCTTTCCAAACACTTCAGTCAAAGACTACCTTAGAAGCTCCCTTGCTTGGTGGAGAGACTGCTTGGATTCCGAGCCCATTATTTTCCAAGGGTCCTGGTTGGGGTTTGAGGGAGCCCTGTCTTCTCAAACCAAGTTCTGAGTGAATTAAAAAGTAAAACTTATATCTCAATAATGCTGTTACCACCAAAAAAGAAAAGAAAAGAAAAGCTGATGGGACTTGAAAATATTCTTACTACAGAAAAAGCAGTTTGGTGACAACATGCCTGGTTGCCATTCAGTATGCTTCCTAATCAGAAACTCCAGAAAGACCTTTAACCACCAGATTCAGGCAGGGAGGGGCTTCTGGGTCTTCACTGTGAAGCAGAATGCAGGTCCCCTGAGCTGAGAAGTCCCAGAGGAGGGGAGGGAGAGGCAGGCACCATGGGCACTCACATTGGTGCCATTCTAGCTCGTGATCTCCTGGTGTTTCTGGGATAGCATTTGTCAGTCTGCTTTCCCCAAGGGCTGCCGGCCCTGGCACCTGTCACAGGCCCCAGGAGTGTCCTGTGTGGCAAGGGAGTGAGAGTTCCCTCCTCGGATCTTCCTCGGCCCCCGGGGCTTCTCACGCTGGCATGTCCCTCAGCGACCACCGTTTTTAACACTGTCCCCAGCGAGGCCTTTGGGAAGCTAGAGGCAGCAGCACAGTGGGTGCTGAGATGGCCACTGGGAGGATCGTGGGAGAACTGGCTCCGTCCTGTCCCCCATCTCGTGCCGTCACAGCCCTGCCTCGGGCCAGCTCCACCTGCTGAGTGTCCTTGATGGACATTGCTCTGAGCAGGCCGTCCTCCAGGACAGTCCTGTCTCCTGGTGATGTCAGTTCAGCGGCTCTGTCTCCGAGATTTAAAAAAATGTCCTTGGCACCCCCTGCTCCGCCCACTCAGCCTACAGAGCCCCTGACCTGACTGTAGAAACATCCCCTGGCATTCTCTGCCACCCTCACTGACACCTGAAAGCCCTGTCTTGTCCCCCAGGAAGCAGTCTTCTGGACACGCACGCAGTGCTCACGCATCTCCCTAGCAGCCCCCTTCCCACCCACCACGGTCCTAGGTGTGGTCCTGCCTCGATTCCACCTCCAATGGCCTCTGGACACTCCAGGGAGG